GCTACATGCTCGTAACGGTGTTGCGCGCGGGGGTGGGTGGGGGGTGGGGAGTGGGGGATGGAAACGGCGGGGCAGCGACGAGACGGATGGCGGGGGTAGGGGGGAAATCAGACGGGCAAAGATGGTTTGATCTGGAGGCTCGCGCGTGACCGGCCAAAAGTTTCGGCCGGCGATCGCCATACGCATTCCTTCCCTCCAGGCGAGCGCGTGACGCTGCAGCACCGTGTTGCTTTGCCAATGGACACAGGGAAAAATAAGGCAGAAAAAAAAATGCCGACAAATAAAAAGAGCGGAAAGTGTCCCTGGAGTGGGTCGCACATGCTGGATTTCATGGACCTGCACAGCATCAGCATGGGACGGCGAAAACTAAACAAAGCATAAAGAGCAAGAATCTTTTAGTTGAGCAACAGCCACGACAGACTGAAGAAGGGAGCAACTGAATACCAGCGATAAATCCACGTTCTGGGAAAAAGATAGCATAGCACCACGAAACAAGAGCATCGAGTTATTCAGCACTCTAGCAGCAGCTTGGGATACAGAAGCAAGAACTGAAAATAGCTGGAGGATACCTTGAAAGAAGTAAAGAAACACGACGGAGATTAGATACAGAGGCCCTAGGTATCTATCTAGGGGTGTGAGAGTATACTACAACAAGGTTTGCTCGGCTCCAATGAGCGAGGGGCAATAACGGTGGCGCGCCTTTGCTCGCTTCAGTGCTTATAGTCGTCACTAGATGGTCTAAGGATCTAGATTTAAATTTTACGTCTACTATTCTTTGTACTGCCCTAACAGATGATGAATAGATCAGAAGTTTTTCCCGCAAAAAGAATAGCCTGCACAAGCAAGCTAAGCCAACCATTTGATTAAAACATGTGAACCACAGTTAGAGCGGCAGAAATCTGCAACAGCCATCCGAAAATGATTCAGAAATTTGGGTCACTGAGTGGACTCACCTGTCATGCGAATGATGTAGAGAAATGATGGGAGCAACCACTACCACTGTGACCAAGATTAGAGAAGAAGCTTCTAGTTAAGATCGGCCAAGAAAAGCAGTTGAAAAGAAACAACATAGATATTGGTGTTTCGTTATGCCCCTGGAACCACACCTTCAAAAATACTACATACCTGAAACCTAAAATGCACAAAAATAGTACGACAGCGCAACCAAAACTGTTTGGTCTGAACAACACATCCGGCTCAGAAATACTTCAAAGCCTTGGTGGCATTGATTTGGGACGTGGTTACAGGAGTGTATTTGGAGTTCACATGCTTTTGCTCCCATACACTTGGAACGAAGAATAGCTGACAGCTTAGGGTTGGAACACATTTGGCGAACTCCAAAAAGAACAGCACCTTAGTTTACAAGAGGGCGGGCAGGAGAGCTAACTAGGCATCTTCACAACTACAAAGGGCATACACAGATTCATGCTCAACAACTCAACGCCGATGCTTGAACAATCAAGCATCAGCTTCCAGCTTCTTAGAATTCAAGTTAAAGCACATGCACTTGTCTATAAGAGCCTCCGACTCGTTGCTGTATTCTTTGAACCTGTACTCGTCCAACTTGAAGGCTGATGGAACCTTCCCTTCACTGTAGCACCGGTTACACAAGCTAAAGGAGTGTTTTGTTTCCATGAACCGTGAACCGATGATAGGATATCTGCATATGGAGCAGGTGTGGCTGCCGTGGCGAACATGATCACTGCCTTCAAGCTTCACCAGTGTGGTTAGAATTCCAAACCCCCAATCAGGATCATTGAACATCTCGAGGAACTCTATGTACGATACCATGGTAGGGTCAGACTCCCCATGCATTTCAAGCATATCACTAGCCCCATGGGTTGGTATGTAAACGGCACGGAGAAGTTTAATGTAACTTAGCGCGTCACTCCTCCTGATCTGGCCCCTGCCACCTTCGCTTGCAGGACGCCAAAGAAGTGCATCGAAGACGACACGCTTGCGCCTATCCACAGGACCAGAACAGATTGGAGCAATAATAGCAAAGAACATCCCAAGATCAACGCGGCCAGAGCCAGACGCATCAAGGACCGAGAGAATTCTTTCGTTCATTGCTTTGACAGCACCCTGGAAGGTATCTGGCTTGAGGAAAGATAGGAGCCTGCGAAGAATAACCTCAAGAGCTGCTTTCCTGATCGACTTCTCTGGGATGCCAGTGCCTGAGTAGGATACGGGGACATCAGTCTCATTCATCTCTTTCCTCAGAAGCTCAGCATCACAGTGGCCAAGCTTTGTTGTCCTCTCGAAGGCCCTTATATCAAGGGCATTGGCCAAATCCTGCCGCAATGTGGTCTTACTTCCAACCCTCTTGAACTTGGATGCTTCTACAATAACAAAGGCTTCCTCTCCTTGAGCATCATGTTTTCCTTTTGAAGGCTTTGGCTTCTTTTTCTGCAGTGTCTTCAGATGTGAGATGGCATCATACACCTCCACCCTTTGTGTCATCTTAAATGCCTCCTTGAGTGCCTTCTTGGCCTCCTCAGACTCTCCCTGCCCAAGCAAAGCGACTGCCTTGTTTAGCTGAGCACGCCAATGGTTTGGTCGGATGCTCAGCACACGAGTATACATCTCCGCGGCTCGCACAAATCGGCATGCGTCCATGTTCAATCCACCAAGATTGTATAAGGCATCAACATGCCCAGGTTTAAGATCAATTGCTTTCTGGAACTCCTGAACTGCACGGTCATCGTCCCCTACTGCATGCAAGGCTGACCCAAGATCACAGTGCGCATCAGCATAGTCTGGCTTCAGGAAGATGGCCTCCTCCAGTGCCTTCTCGGCTGCACGGTATTCCCCAACACCAAAGAGTGCACTCCCAAGGAGCTTCAGCGCGCGGGCATGGGATGGGCACAGTATGGCAGCCTCTCGATAGTGCTCGCACGCACCAAGCACCATCCCCTCAGCCTCCATTGCAATACCAAGGTTGACATGGATCTGTGGGAGAATGTCCGCGGACTGGGAGTTACCTGCCTCTGCCGCCTCGAGGGCAAGGAGGAACTCCTCCTTGGCCTCGGCGTGGCGGCCCAGGGCGTAGAGGCAGTTACCAGCGCGGAAGTGCGGGCGGACGTCGGTGGGCTGAAGCTCGCAGCCACGGCGGAAGCTGGCAAGGGCGTCTCGGAAGAGGCGGTGCTCGGAGAGCGCCCGGCCGATGACCATGTGGTTGTCGAAGGCCTCCTCGCGAGAGCGGGAGGCGTCCGCGCGCGTGCGGAGAACAGCGAGCTCCTTGACGAAGGTGAGGTAGTCCCGGCTCGTCTCGTCCCACGGCGCGGACGCCAAACCCGAATCGGCGGAGGCGGAGATCTCCCTGGACCAGCCGGCCTCAGAGAAGGAGTCGAGATTGCTGCCGCCCCCGCTGGTGTCGATGGAGGAGGTCTTCCGCAGCTGCTTGGAGCGGAGGCGCTTGACGAGTATCTCCAGGTCGTCGAGGAGCGCCCAGGAGGAATCGAACGCAATCCCGTGGCTGGGCGAGGTCGCCCAGGCCGGCGCGGCGACGGCGGCGCGGGAGCTGGACGAGGGGCCCGTGCCGCCGATGCCGAGCGGCTTGAGGTGGTCGTCGAGCAGCGACGCGGCGACGGCGGCGCCGGAGGTTGGGGAGGGCGACGAGGCGGCGTCCCCGGGGCCGATCTCGGGGGAGGAAGCGTCGGAGTCGACGGCGGGCAGGGAGAGCGCGAGGAAGTCGCGGTGGACGTCCCCTGCGCCGTCGTCGTAGGTCCGGAGCAGGCCGGTGAGGGACAGGCCCTGGCCCCCCGGCAGGATGAACTCGGCGTAGGTGCGGAAGACCTCGTCGAGGATGGCGGAGATCTGGTCGTCGCTGAACTTGACCCGCGGGTTGACGGCGACGACGAGCTTGGCCATCTCGGCCCGGTCGAGCCCGCCGTCCCCGTTGGCGTCGAAGCGCTCGAAGATCCTGCGCACCTTCTCGGCCCGCGCGCCCCTCCCCGCCGACGCCGCCGACGCGGACAGCGCCATCGCGGGAAGCCGCGCGCTGGG